AAAAATTTGACTGTAATTGTCCATTCTCTACCTATGGCAACACTTCACATGCTTTCCCCATTAGCGCGTGGAAAGTCACAGAGGAAGGAAGTACGTTAGTTTCTCTCTTGATTTTCATATAGATTAAAATCTTTTAAGTTGGAAAACCATATGGAACTAAAAACTACATTAAACATAGTTCTAAAGAAAAGTATCTCGGAAATTTGAAAAAATATTAAAAAAAGGGAAAATATCGTAGTACATTCCTATACAAATGAAAAGAGGAGGAGAGGGAAGGGAAAAGGGCTAAAGGCATGAAACTGGTCTCTCCCCAGATGGCGCTTTCGAGTGTTGCGATCGCCAATCGTGGCGACATTGACACAGAATAACGTTACAGAGAAAATAAAGCTTTCTTGCAGAAAACTTTTTTTATTTGGGAAATAATAAAAAAAATAATTTCCAGCCTTCACTTAATCAGTTTCTTCATTATTTCTGAAATTTCGCTTCTGATCTCTTTCTTCTTATCAGCAATGGCTAAAGATGCACTTAATTTTTTCCATCCAACATTAGAACCTAGTGAAAAACATGATAATCATTAAAACAATTATATACCATCTAGAAATTTTTCAAATGCTATAAATAGCTAAGTTAGAAGCACTGGCGTATTTTTATACCACAACTGGTAACGGCCAACATTTCACTAAAAATTTCCATTGCAAAAACAAATTGAGGGGTTCCTACTCATTACTCAATTGCAAAAATAAAATTACCTAACTTCAAGTCAACAAAATAATTAAGTGTCAACAGAATTTTACCATATTTTATTATACATCAGAAATATATTTTTCATTGAATAATGAATGAAACTTTATAATAGGAAATAAGTAAAATATTATATTACATAAGAAACTAAATGTCAAAGATGGCTACCTTTGATAGCCTTTGTTTTCGATAATTGGTACCACAAGATTTAGATCCAACTTAGACAAATGTTGCCTAAATTTTGGCGGTGACAATGTAGAGAGGTAGCAAATATAAATATTGCAAATAAGAAATTTAAAAAAAAATTTAAGTGTAATTTTAAATTTTGCAACCTAACAGGCCTTGAAAAAAAGGTAATTTATAAATAAAGTGACATTAATTGTTCAGCAATTTGAGCTGGATTATATATCAATAACAATATCAGGGGTGATAGTGACTTAGTAACAAAATCCCTGAAAGTGAAGGATGAAATATAAAGAAACCCTGAAAGTCACTATAGTGCAAACCCTATTGTATTTAAAATTGGTACGATTTCAAATGAAAATAACATGTAAAAAAAAACATATAAAATCACAAAATCTGATTATATACCTATAGTCTTGACTGGCACAAATCTAAATCCAAAGAGCTAGAAATTGTTTGAACTATAAATGATGAAATATCAGTCACGTAAAGGCTATTTATTAATTCTGTGTAAGAACACAAATAAAAAAGGTCAATGAAATGAACCAGTTGAAAAATGCTCATAGCTTATTTTAATTCTTCTGTATAAATATTTTAAACAAAAAAATAGCTAAATAAATATATCCATATCCTATTATTATTTACAACACATTAAAGTTGAGCACACTTCATATTTAATTCTTCCGTATAAATATTTATTAAAAAATATCCTATTATTTACTATGCATCTCATCATTTCTTTAAAAAAAGTTTCCAATTTTTATTTGCTTTATTTTATTTATATTGTCCCGTGGCATTTTTCTCTTCCGCTGGCTACCCTCATTGTCCAGAATATTTTCTGCCACTATAGATGACTCCTACGCTTCTGAATGGATGGTTGATGAACCAGGAGTAGCACTCTTGGAACTGAGTACTTGATTGTAGCTTCTCCAGCTACTCAATAAATTTTGTCCAAAATTTCCTTGCATAGGCTCATGAACTGGATCTTTAGTTACAAAGACATCAATTGTACTTTGACCCAGAGAGTTCAAATAATATTTAACAGTTTGAATTGAGTCTAAACTTTCAACATTTAGAGATGTTCTGCTGTCAGTCACAATGTCATCCATATATTTAAAAGTGCTTTCAAAGGAGGGTCCATGAAAACAAGTTAAAACTGCCTTTACCACTTTGGAAAGTAATGGATACTTAACTACATTTTCACTTTTTAGCTGTATTATGTGGTTCCAGAAAGAAATCATACCATTACCTTACTGATAGGATAAAGTATCATCTATCAGATACTCTCTGAGTTCTGAGTCTAAAAGAGATAGTTCTTCTTTAGAAATAACATTCGGTAAAAGATGAGCCAAATTTGTTAATGCAGTATATGTTGTTCCTCCTCCTCTTAAGGCATGATTTAAGGCAGACAACACAATCAATAGAGAACTATTTAAAGGTAATTTTTTGGGCATATACACTGCATATCGTGAATATGCAGTTCTCAAAACCTCTTTAATTTCTTTCATGTCAGAGTGCGCAGCATTTACCCCGGTGGATCTAAGTTTATCAGGAAGGTAGGTTTTTTTTTTTTTTTAATCATTCACGTCAATCTTAAGAATTTCATTATAAGAATTGATCTTAAAAATTAACTCATGTTTTAAAAAAAAGGTCAAAAGTTTTTTTGTGGGGTGGAACATCTGTATATGCAGTTCACGTAGAAGACATTCTTTTCTCTGGAAAAGTTTAACATAATTGAAATGGGGCAGAACTGACTCTTAAACTTTTATGAGACACAGAGTTTTTTTTTGCCGTTCAAATAATCTCCGTACAATTCTTTTCTTTCTATCTTTGCCTTCAGTGGTTAAAGTTTTACACTTTAAACCACTTTGGATTTCCTAGATTTGTTCTACCTCTTCAGCAGATAATTCTCGTTGTTGATTTACTTCAATCAACATTTCTTCACATCCACATCACATCAGTCCAGGAAAAATAGAATACCAATAAAGCATCCCATAAATAATTAAAACACTCAATAACTACAAGTACATAAAGCCACCGATGATCCAGCTAAGAAAGTGGCTTTAACGGTTTTATTTCAAGGACATTACAGATTACAAAAATATTTCTCTTTTATCTATGCTCTTTAAGTCAAAATATACATTATCCAACAAAACTTCAAGATGTTATAAAAATAGCTCAGTGAATTTTTTTGCCAAATTATTTGCTGTATCGTAGGTGTCTCCATCTATATCTAACAAATGAGGAGCTTTTAGTGATCTTATCTTCGTATTTATGCCGTTTTTTTTTGCACCGCGCATAGTATTACAGGAGTCCAGTAACAGACTTATTAGATTTTTCCACGGTACGCAGTTTTCTTCAAATAATGATACAATGGAGCTATATATCCCCATCGCATTGCAGACTGAGGCTGATAATTTGATGGAAGCTAAGTGACGCAACAAGATTCTGTTTTGATTTTCCGAAAAATATTGCACCAGTACAGCTAGAATACTCTCAGAAGACCTACTATTGCTTTCATCAATATTCAATGAAAAGAACGAAGTTTTCAGCTCTTCGATTTGTTCTTCTTTGATCGTTCTTGCTATTCCATATTTGATTTTATAAGCAGCAGCCGATCTTGACATTTGCATATAATTTAATGCTGAAACATCCATGGACAGGGTTTTCGCTAATTCGATTAACTTTGGCACCATCGAAAACAAAAGAGAATTCTCAGCTGTAAAACTGAGCAGCAAAGCTTTTCTTGAAGCCATGTCCAGAGTACGTTTGTTTTCATCTTCATTATTTTGAAAAAATTTCCATCAATTGGATAAAGAGCATTCAACACTTGCGAACTGATATCTGATTCGCGGGCTTGCTTGTGCGTCTGAGATTTTGAATGATTTTTTAAAGACTTTAAAACTTCATTTGAATATTTGATAGAAGTGTTGCAGCAAATACAGAAACACTTTCCAGCTTCATCGATCTTTTTGCACCAAACTTTTCGTTGCGTTCATCCACTTGAGCCAACCATTCCCATCGGAATTTGTTTTTAAGACCTTTATCAAGCTTGATGACATCATCGTTTTTCGAAGGATATTTCTTTTCTACTCTCTTCACAAGAATATATAAAATAAACTTATATCACAAGAAGTTATAAAAAAAAGAATCTCACAAAACACGCGCCGATGCTAACAAACGAAAAGTAATTTGTGAGAGCAAGATATTCGCTGTGTTAAACTTAACCCTAAAAAACGATAAAAATCTCGCATTCCCCTTTCAACTGTCAATAGTAATACAAAAACTCGTTCACGGGGGCAGGCAGTGAAAGAATGGAGCATTAGAGAAAAAATGAACACTCCCCCTTTCCCCCATACAAGAGCGAAACCGCATCCTGCTGGTTGGACAGGAAGCGAGACGTTTCTAGTATTCTCCCCTCCCCTCTGTCCACCACTCGCTACGCTAAAGATGAATGAGCAAAAGGAAATGAAATCCCGGAAAATATTTTTCGAGAGACCCGGAATATTTTTTTAAAAATCCGTAAATCCGGGGTAGCCCCAGAAATCTACCACCCCTGCAATATTAAATGAGGCATGTCAATGTGCCAGGCAAAAATTTTATTCCTAATCTTGCTGAAGATTCTTAAGTATTTAAAATAATAACAGCTCAATAAATTCATGAAAAATATTAGGCAATAAAAGTAGCAGGGATGCTACTTGCAAAATATCAAATT